ARGGSMRGSYKGGKTTTTTTTKTAGTGGTTTGTCAGYAAGGYGTCCAAACATGCATGCAAACAGGAGGTTTGCAACACAGAAATGTGTCCGTCACCTGTTTATCCTTTTTCTGTGACCACAGATTAGATGTCTTCTTTGCATTTAACACTTTCACAGTCCGGGGTTTTCTGTATCTGAAAGCTGAACTCCCCCAAAATTCTTTCAAAGAAAATACGAATCACTCTGTCATACATGTGTGTGCCTTGTCTTTTATATCCCACACTCCTTAGCTTACCAAATAATAGATGTTTGACAGTTCACAGTGGCTCTTGTTAATTAACATATGAGTATTTTTCTGTCTTTCAGCTGAAGGCATTACCTGGCAGTACAATTCTGTGGAGCACTTGCTGGCCACTGATATACCTTGGTCCACAGGAGTGACTTTTGTACTCTATGTACCCTGACTCTCACATTTTAGGAGTGGCTTTGGTGCTCTGCCTCTATTTTGTGCCCTTATTTTTTCTTCACACAGGTATTGCATTTCCTTCATGCTGGTATTGCACTTATTTTCCCATTTTTTTGCATCACCTTAAAGATGGCCAGTTTAATTCTTCTCACATATTTCCCTTTCTTTCTTTCTTTTTTTTTTTTTTTTTTTTTTTCCCTTTGAAGTCAAAAGCACATTGGATGCCCCGAGACATCTATGTATTATCCAGGGATTAGATTTTATTCAGGTTTTATTAGGGAATTCAAGAAAAAGGCAGGTTTTAAGGAAACAGGAAGAAAGAATCTAAAGAAATCAATCTGCTGTAAAATAATGCAATATTAATGATGAAAAGGGAAGTTTCAAGASAGTGAGYTRTTAAAAAACTYTCAAACCCCATTTCCTGTWGGGGCAATTTAAATACAAAAGGGGKCATGSTAAATTGCAGTGCTTCTGTCAGCAAATAGAAGCAGCTATGACATCTGGTAGCTCTCCTGCTCTCCTGCTCTCTCTAATTGCTGTTACTCTACTGACAAGATGTAARTATGGACCTAAGAGAAAAATACCCAAGTTCCCAATTCCTCTGGATAACATGTGATAGAATTGCACTTCTGCTGCATTTCAGGTGGCTGCACGGACATTATCAGAGGACATGAAGTGCGTCCCCATTCCTGGCCTTATATGGCTGCTATCCTGAGGGAGCATGTACGTGTTATTTGTGGAGGAGCTCTTGTGGAAAAACAATGGGTTTTGACAGCAGCGCATTGTGGGTAAGTATCTTAAAACGGGGCAATTTTAATTCTTCATTGAAGTGGGGCATTGTATGCAAGCCTGTAAGTGAAGAAAGGTGGGTATTGATCTTTTTATAAATTGTTAAAGGCTGCAGTTCTTTCACCAAACTTATTCAAGTACTTGTCATTCTAAGTTGCTATAAAGCTGACCTGCATTGCATACAGTTACTTTCGTTAGTCAGTTCCTGAAAATGTTACAGCATAAATACTGTGCTGTTAAAAGAACAAATTAATTATTTAAGCATTTGAAACAGCAACCTCTTAGAGAAGGGAATATGTCCCAAGGAGCTTTAAATGAGTCTCACCTCTTTGCCAGGGACTAAGCCTCAAAACATGTTGAGAGAAGAAGCTGAATTAGATGGGAACACCATTCTTCTCATTTTAAGTGACCTGGCTCACAAAAACCAGAATGTCACTCATGACTGTGACAAGGAACCTTGTCCTTTTGACAAGTTAAATGCGAACGCAAGCACCTCTTCCCCAGGTGGGATAAAGGCTGCTGTTGAATATCTGACTCAGCGTAAGGACGACATCTACTGTTCATGTTAGGAAATTAAATTTTTGTTAAAATATTCTCTGAAGTTGCTTTCAGTTCTCCAGTTTATCCTACTTGTTTTGAATAGCTGTAAGAAAACCAATTACAATAAAGCCGCGCAAACCCGACTTGCTTAAATACAGTGTGGGTAGGTTGGCCAGCATTCTTCCGTGAGTTAGTCTGAAACAGAGGACAAAGCTCCTTAGCGAATTTGACATTCACATCTTTTCAAGTTTTGTTGTAAGGTTAGAAATATTAATTTCTAACATGATCTGATTTGGAAATTTACAAAACAAAACCAAGTATTATTTTTTTGAATTAAAGGATGTTTTAATGGGATCTGTAGTCTCTCTCTCACTCTTCAGTCAATAGGTCAGAGATACCCACTCAGGTGTGGTTATAAAAATTAAGATTTGTAAGCTGTTCTCTGGAAAGGGCACCTTTTGTCTGTGATCCTGTGGAGAGCATGCTCAGATCACTGGTTTGGGTTTCTAACTGCACACTGGTTTGGGCTGACTTTAAGTCTTTGTCACTGGGGCAAGTTGAATCTRTCTGGTTTCCTTCTCCTGAGCAGTAAGACAATGCTCACACAGAACCCTCCATCCCCTGTTCTATGTCTGGTCTATTCATACCAGATGTAATTGCAGAGCATGTAAGGCTTCCTAACTATTTTAGGGTTGTTGAATCTTATGTGTTAATCACTTCTGAAATAATTTTTGTCTTAAACAAGACAACATGAATTCAGTAATATAAGTTGCTCTGTGGCCTGTGAACCACTTGTTAGAGTCACAGAGATGGAACTTTGAGAGTCTTATCTCATCCTCACTGATGAAGTGAGCTTTGTAGATAGAAAAAAATTTTAGACTACAACACTGCCTTTGCAGCTATTTTCACCAGCAAACTTTTAAACACAAATAAATTCTATCTTTCAGTGAGATATGCAGCTCAAATGAAGAAAGTAAGTTTTTAAATTTTTTTTTTTTAAAAATTGCTTGGGTTGGTGAAGTGTTTTTTCTGGCTTGAATAAGTTGTCCTGTGTATGGTGAGATTATGTTCTGAAGATAAAGCACAGGAAACCAACAGTATRTCTTCTGCAATGTCAAATTATTGGGCTGCATTAAGTTTAGCAGAGCACAATGGAGAAAGTCAAATGCTAATATATACATTACTGATGATACTCAGAGAGCTTGGGATAGAGAGAATTTACGAGTTGCTTAACTCTCTTTGTTTCTTGGCAGGAAGTAGACATAATTATTTGGATTTTAGTATTCTCCCTTTTTCTTAACACTCACTGATGGGGTGTTTTGAGTCAGGCAACATTCATCTTCTTCCTTATTGTGCTGAATCCTGTGTTTAGTGAAATTAAGGACAAAAACTCATTAATAATAAAGATCTTCACTTTAGCAGAACATAACTGTATGCATAATGCACAGGATAAGTGTTGAGTATTGGTGTGTGTTCTGACAACCTACACGTATGTCAGGCATATTTCACTTTTTTGCAGGAAGGAGTAGATCATAAATCCAAAGGAGACCCTTTGGAGATTAATGAAAGGCATCAATACCAGCAGTCCTCATGCAAGCAATTCTCCTTAAAAAGATGGAGGGCACTTTCATGAAGTTAATTCCAAAATTCTGAAAATCTCCAGAGGTCAATCATTGTACATTTGTTTCACTAAACTGTAGTCACAGTAAAGAAACATTATAGCAGAAAACAGAAACTCATGTCAAAGCATTGAGATAGATGATGTCCTGCTCTGCTTTAATCTCGTTGCTGTTAAATGAAACTGTGAGAATACTGTTACGTATCTTTTGATTATCCTGAGGGATGCTGCTCTGTTCTGGTAGTGACTTTCTCTCTCTATACTTTCTGTGAATTACAGAATAAATGAATTAGAAGACAGAGTTATTCTTGGAGCTCATCGGGCATCTGTTGCTGAAAAAGAACAGCAGATATTTAAGATTATGTGTTTCTTTCGTTTTCCTCGCTTCAACTGGTATTCTGGGGATAATGATATAATGCTCCTTAAGGTATTGTGTTAATTACTTTTGTATGTTTGTGAAAGGAATTTTGCAGATGATCATTTTAGCCGCTCTATYATTGAAGAGTACRTTGTTTCAATAGTTTAACAATATCWCWRAACACCCTASTTTTGGTTRTATTAATGTAGATGAGGTTAAAGGATCGCTGGTCTGTGAGCAGGGGTGACATTTCAAGTCCATTCTGTGCTCTGAAACCCCCTTTGTAATATATTCACGGCAGCAACCCATCCAAAACACAAAGTACATTTGTTAGTAATTTTTCAAAGGCAGTGCTGGAGTGATGTATGCAATGGAGTCCGGCTCACACCTCTATTTCAGAATCATACCTTGTGCTGGACTAAGGAAAAATGGAGATGAAATTTACTGTTAATTTTTTGAGGTAACTACGTAAAGTAGAAGTGTAGATAATACAGGACTTGTGGATTCAGCTCTAGGGGCACAGAGTGATCACAAAGTGGAGGAGGCTCAGGACACTGCAGAATGAAGCAAGATGTCCTTGCCAACATCGTCATCCAAAGATGAAGTGGGGTGGGGCCGTAAGAATTTCAATGTACAGGGAGGTGGCCCTGCCCATGGCAGGAGGGCTGGGGCTACGTGACCCTATGATTCTGTACTGGAATCTGGTTTCTAGTGCTTAGATGGCATCACCAGTTTGACAGGGCAATGGCACAGSGAGGAAGGTAATCCTGTCCTTTTCTGCCAGCTGGAGCACTTACAGACACCTGTGTCCCAAGCCACATCACAGAATTGATCACAGCCAATCTCTGAGAAGCGCCTTCCCCCAGATGTTAGTGAGCATGCTACATCTGCTTCATTGCAAATGTAAACCAGGCTCATCTCACTGACTCCTCCTGTGCCACTTGTCAGGACCACTGGGGTATCTGTGAGCACAAAATCAAAATGGAAAACTAGGGAGTAGTATTTCTGGAGCTGAGAATCCTAACTCTGTTCCAGAATGATATAGATACCACAAAATCCTTTGAATTTGACACAGAAACAGGGATAGCACTAGCACTCAAGCTTACTTCCCCTCTCTACACTTCTATAGCAATGGAGTATTAAATGGCTTAGAATAAACTTGCTTTGGAACTTGCCAGCATCATTGGCAATAATAACTGCAATTTTTAAAAAAATAAATCTGTGATTTGTAAGAGTGCATTTTTTAAAAGGTATAAAGCCAGAACCATTTAGCTGAGAACCACACAGCGACCTGTGAAATGAATCATGGTGAGATTATCATAATACTGAAAATGTCTGTTCAGTATCTGCGAGCCCTTACCAAGGACACTGAGGATATTTGCCAGGGTTTGGCTATGTTTTCATTTACAGGCTTCAACCAGCCCTCTGCTGAAGGATGGATCTGTCAGGCAAAGGCCAACAAAACACAGACAGTTTGAATATTTTAACCCCTTTAGAATCTGTCAGAGCAAAAACTGGCAATCTGAGTAGATTGCTATCTGATTTTTCCTCAATTACACTGCTGCTGTCAGTCTTATTCCTTATAGTTTTTGTTTTGGTCTTTGTCCTTGGGCACATTGCACTATTCTTTGACACTTTTCTGTCAGTTGAGCACCAGAATCTGATTTCAACACCAAAGTTCAGTGGCAAGTTAGGTTTGTGAACAGGACACAGATCCAACAGCCTWACTCCCATGGAAGTTTTACATTTCCTACCAGATCCAATAGGAAGTTGGGCTTAAACTCACTACTGCTGCCTTAGATGGGGAATTATTGTGCTGCTACTACGGAAAGACTTTTGAATTTTTGAAGGGGCAAATAACCTCAGGATCAGTTCCTAAATAGTGAAAACTGATTTTTAAAGCAAGTATTGGTAAAATGAGACTAAATGATAATTGAAACTGGATTATACTTCCCTTTCTCTCTGGATAAGGAAGCGATGTTCCCCCTTGTTTTTCCCTTTTTTTTTCTTTTTTAGCTGAATTATACTGCAAAGCTGAATAAGTATGTGCRACTTTTGCCTCTGCCTGATTCTTCTGAAGATGTTGAACCTGGAACACTCTGCCAGGTGGCTGGCTGGGGAGACACATCATCAGGAATGCCATCGGAACATCTCCAGGAGGCAACTCTTAAAATTGTCAATAGAAGAAGCTGTGACAAAAAATATAACAACGACCCCAAAATAACCAACAACATGTTATGTGCTATAGGGAAAAGTAGATTTTTTTTTCGTCCAAGCGATACTTGCCAGGTAAGAAGCAAGTTACAAAGTGGGGGACAGGTATTTAATGGCTCCCTTTTCACTGGGAGCAAAACAGTGCCAGACATCCCATGAGGCTAATCATGATTGAAGTGATTTTAACCACATTTGTGAGAGACTTTTTTACTGTGAGAAAGAAGTGTTAAATATTTTTTTAGTTTAGGTCAATGTACCAGTCAGGATTGAGAGTATTAGCCTGGGGTTTTCTGTTAACTTTAGGTACATTTCTTTACCTGTGGTGCTTTCCTTAGATACCACCTGTAGGTCTAGGAGAAAAAGAGGAGCTTTCAGGGTCTGAATTATCTGATGCTCTCCAGAAGTCAACATCTGAATAGTACAGAATTAACTGTATACCCAAAAGGGCTTTTTGGTGCCTTCTGTGCTGAGGCCAGAAGAGACAATTGAGAGACAATTGATACAGAAGTGTGAATCAATTTATATCAACCATAAAAAATATATTTTGAAACAGAATTGTGACAGCACTCTACAGCTAGTCTACAACATTTGCATCCAAGGCTCCCTCAGGTTTGAAAAAACAACTTCTCTTTATGCCTCACCTAACTCCTACGAATTTATGTAAACCGAAGTGATCAATTTCTTAGGCTGGGAAAGGTTAGAGACAGCATTTCAAACCACRCTTGTGCACTGCAGGTGGCACTACATGCTCCTCTGAAGAGAAATGGRTACACGCTGACAGCTACTTCTGCTTTGTCTTCCAGGGAGATTCGGGTGGGCCATTAATCTGTGCTGGTCAGTACCGTGGGATTGTTTCTTTTGGAAAMAAAAAATGTGGAAAGCGTGGCRTACCTGGAGTYTATACACRGCTGACTGAAAAGTATGTTGACTGGATAAAAAGAACAATTTCCAGTAACAGAGATCCATGAAACAGTCAAGATCACTTTAATAAATATTGTCTGTGCATTAGAGCTTCATGCTGCTGCTTTAGTGCACYGCCTTTGAAATGTACCTCCCAGCTTTACAACTTTGCTAACACCACCACAGCTTTATGAGAACAGTTCAAAATAACCACCTTTGTAGAAATAACACCCTTACTAATCTTACTTGGG